GTACAGGGGTCAATTTGATTACTATAAGGGAGCACGGTTCAATCTGTTTATATTATATTGTTTTGATAAATGAACAAGTATTTTCTTTTAAAAAATGTTTTCCCCTGTTTATTTATGATTCAAGGAATATCCTGTTCAATGATATACTGAAGAGTAGATTACTAATGTGAGTGTTGAGGCAATAAAAACATTTTTTTGCACCAAAATTACAATCTGTTATGTCTTTAGCAAGCATTTAGCTAAACTTAACCAGCCACCCTTTACACACACCTTGTTACATTAGCTAAAAGTCCAATGCCCATAAAGATCCTAAATGATTAGTAATCGTTTATAAACATTTACAAATGGTTAATAGTTTCAACTTTAGATTGGCTACTGCAAAAACATGAACAAATGATTAATAAATGATTAGTAAAGATGTGTGAATAGGGTAAATTCAGGTCTTTGGGGACATTTTTTTGCCATTGAGATGACATTATGTTCATAAAGGTATTAATGATTAGTAAACATTTATAAACATTTGCAAATGATGAATAGTTTCCACTTTAGATTGGGTACTGCAAAAACATGAACAAATAATTAAAGGCAGGGTATGTGATTTTTCAAAAACACTTTAGAAAACTGATTCGGGCCGAATAGCAAAACAAACTTGAAGCCAATCAGCAATAAGGGGCGTGTCTACTCATGATGTTGAGGAGAGAGCTTTCAGTGCACAGGATGGACATTAGCTGGGTGGAGAGCGCGTTCAGTGCATGGGATGGACATTAGCCGAGCCGAGCGACAGAGAGATAGAGATGGCGGATAAAAAACAAAAGAGGAAAATGTCTGCGGAACGATAAGGCAAGAAGTAGGACCCGTGTAAATATCGGATCAGCTTTCCAGCGCTGGAGAGAACTCAAGGAGCGGAGGCCTGTGATCGGACGCCGAGGTTGCTTTGTTTTTCTTCTCAATAGGTGAGTAACACTGTGTCTACAACAGCTAAAGTCTGCCTACACTGGACGCGATCAAACGACCGTTGAAAACCATTTGAAATTTGTGTCAGCACGTCATAAATAGAACCCGGCAGCAGTTTTCTGTCGGGGATTTGTTGCGCCGCGCCGCTCACGTCCGTAGACACGGTGTAACATTGGTTTTGCTTTGTTTCACAGAACTAATCGTTGCCTGGGTTGCGTACGTATATGTGGGGCGGAGCTATCAAAATAGGGGCAAGACCCTTTTGGGGTAGGGGCGTGTTTGTTTTGGTGATTTCAGATATCAACATTGGCTACCAGAAATCACTTACTCTGCCTTTAATGGATTATTGGTTAAGATGTGTAAATAGAGGTCTACACAACAAACAAAGACCAACAAATGAAGATCATATGAACTGAAAGTTTACTGACATTTGTAAGCATTTCAATTTACATTACATAATCACATGTTAATCATTAGGTAATGTTTAGTAAGTTCATCAGTAAACATTAACAATAACATTATCTCATATTTCTACACTGTAAAAAAAAAAAAAAAAATTTACGGAAAATAACTGATTTTTTCAGGTTGTTTTCTTTGATTTTGAATTGCAGTCAAAACTTAAAACGTAAAATTATCTTTGAATTAACTACTTGGCTGTTATTTTAAGTAATATGACATTAATGACAAATTACAGTAATTCACATTTTTTATACAGAAAAACTACTGTATGTATTTTTATAAAGTATGTTTTCTGTTTTCTTAAATTACAAACAAATGTATGTAAAATTACAAAAATAATCTGTAATTAATACAATAACAAAACCGTTAGTTTATGATAAAATGGTCAAATGACTGGCAGCAACAGCTGCCAAACAAAAACCATAAAATTAAAGTAAAATCTCATTTAAATGAGCTGAAAACACTGTTATTTTACAGGTATTTCCTGAATTTTTATGAGCAAACACCTTCACTGTAAAATTAACTAATTAACTAATTAATTAAACATCACATGACTGTTAGCAACAGCACATTAAACACTAACAGATCTCTCTAGATCTCAGCATCTTCACTCATTACAAACCAGTCTGACTTTATTTCTTTCATACAAAACTTCTCATTGAGAATTAACAGAGGTTTAGATTTTGATGTTTTATTGAAAATAATAAAGTTAGAAGTCACTGTTGTGGTGATGAGCATTTGCTTTAGTTGGGCTTCTGACCCTTGACTTTATAATGTAAGTTTATCTCTGACTGCTATAACTGTGTGTTTTTTAAGGCACGTTTGTTATAGCAAACATTGCTAGCGAAAAACCTGATCAGATAGACCTGTTAACTTATTAATGATGAGTTAGGAGTCATATAGTAGCCTGATTGCATCATGAGTATTGTTTCTGAATATGTTAAGCTTTTAATGTTGCTTTTTTTATTTTTATGAATGAATGAATGAATGATGCATTTATATAGCGCTTTATTGTGTATTGTTGTACACCCAAAGCGCTTTTTACAATCATGTGGGGGGGTCTCTCCTCAACCACCACCAGTGTGCAGCATCCACTTGGATGATGCGACGGCAGCCACAGGACAACGGCGCCAGTGCGCTCACCACACACCAGCTACAGGTGGAGAGGAGAGAGAGTCATAGAGCCAATCAAGTGGTTGGGGATTATTAGGAGGCCATGATAGACAAGGGCCAGGGGGGCAATTTGGCCAGGACACCGGGGTTACACCCCTACTCTTTACGAGAAGTGCCATGGGATTTTTAATGACCACAGAGAGTCAGGACCTCGGTTTAACGTCTCATCCGAAAGACGGCAGTCATGTGATGTTATGACAGTCAGGGATTCACTTTTTTTTAATCATTATATAGAAAGTGGTCTATATCTTGAATGGAGGCTTTTTACTCATACAAACATCAAGAATCAGCACATGAATCTCAACGATGGTGACAATCAACCAAAAGCTTGTTTTGTGATGATCAGAGCTGATCTGAATATTTTGTCGATTGTGACCATTGTTGATGTTCATATGCAGATTCTTTCTAAGCTAAATAATTTCTTCAAAATGACTTACAAACCTTCAAAATATCAAAGCAGGCCTACATTTCAAGCAGTAAAATTCTAAGACTACAACAAAATGAAATTAATAAATTTAACATGCTCGGACATTAGACATTTCTGATGAGTTTAGTGAATCAGGCCACTATACGATGACAAGATCGTCGTCAGCACGTCAACAACTTTATCTGATCAGAATTCTCCTCGTAGGTTTTGCTATAAGAAATGTGCTTTAGAAACGCACAGGTACAGCAGCCAAAGAAAAAATATAGTTGAAATGTGAAGGGTCAGAAGCCCAACTAATGCAAACACGTATCTCCACAACGGTGACTTCAAAATTGATTAATTTCAATAAAACATCAACATCTAAACCTCTGTTAATTCTCAATAAGAAGTTTTGTATGAAAGAAATTAAGTCAGTCTGGTTTGTAATGAGTGAAGTTTGTAACGCAACGTTTCGGACCGAAACTTTGCGATTAATAAAGTTTAAGAATTAGCAGGTATTGATAGTGTGCGGGTTCATTACTTATTTTTGATTCAACCAATATTCTGCCAAAAATAAATACATTCTCAAATATGTTAAAAATGTAATGTTTGAAATGAAAGAATTTAGAACATAAATATTTATATTGTAACTTATAATGTTAGCTGGTTCTTGTAAAGAGTGTGAACACCCTTAAACGTAAATGTTATCTGTTTACAGTATTTTAAATGTCATGTGACCATTAACTGACCAAGTGAACCATGACCATGCAAATGTGTCACTAAATCAAAATATTAACTTAAAATTTCATAGGGGACTTTAAGTATTTTACGTCTAAATGGTTCAGCTGACAAAAACATTTGGTAACCTCTGTTTTAGTCGGTTAATTCTTTGGAGCTTTGCTGCACTTCAGTACATAGAACCTAATAGACAAAAAAAAAAAAAAAAAAAACTCTTCAATTGTACAACAGCAGTTTTTTTTTACAACTTTTTAAACAGTTTTTTATTTATTTATGCTGAACTAGGGCTGGACAATAATTCAATATCAATATGTATCGCAATATAATTTTTTTCAGGACAGTGCCCACCAGGGGGGAGCAAGCCGTGGACGGTGTGAGCGCGGAGAGGAGCTCCGCCCCCTGCATCATGGCTGAGGGTGAGCTGACTATGGCGGGACATAAGGGCCAGAATATATAGGGAGATCAGTGTCAAAACGAGGGGGAGAGACCTCGGAATCCTCAGTTTAGCCCAGGAGGGGTTCCCGATCCCCTTAAGCCCAGGAAGGGCTCCTGATCCCCAGTTCCGCCCAGGAAGAACTCCTGATCCCCAATTCAGCCCAGTAAGGACTCCTGATTTCTCGTTAAGCCCAGGAAAGGCTCCTGATCCCCAGTTCCGCCCAGGAAGGGCTCCAGCCCAAGAGCTCTCTCCAGTGCCCGCTCCTCAAGAATGCCCCCCCTCCCACCTGCTCCGGCCTCCTCCAGCGTCACCATGGTCGGAGTCTCCCTCGCCTCCGCCTCCAGCCTCCGAGGCCCGGACTCTGCCTCGGCCC